TCGTCCAACCATCGGCTGTTGGACCTCCGGTGGAAAGATCTGTCGAGCGAACTCGACTGCTACACCTGGATCGTTAGCGATGGAATCCGCCTCCGTCATTGGTTTATTCCGCACAAAAATCCCAAAACTCAACAGTCGTGGCGTCGCATCGGGCTCGCTTCTCAATCGCCGTCACGGGGGAGCTTCCCCGTTGCTGTTTGTCTTTTCGGGGTGATCTACTTCGACAACTAGGGGGCTGACGTTTTTCCCGTTCCTTGGACATCCTTCCTCCCGTACGCATAGGCTCGTTACTGCGATTCATTGTAGTGTCTAACTCAGCCAATTTTCGTCATTCTCCTCTGCTGTCGAAGAATAGTCTGTTTGACGTTCACATTTATCCCAGGCTAGTTTAAATCAAGTCTGAATAGAAATAAGTGGAATTACTGGCGCGAACTCACCCCATTTATCCTTAATGTATGCAGCGCCCCCGAGGCGACGTCATTAATTCTAAACGCCAAAAGCCAGATGCCGATCGGACCATTCCACGAACTAGTCCCATTCGGCTTCTGAAGCTCATGCACTGGCTGGGGTAGGGGCAGATTTATTAATCTAATCAGCCAAGTATCTAAATCCAATGCCAATCGATCTATGCCGCAGCCATTCCACGAACTAGCCCCATTCGATTTTTGAAGCTCATGCACTGGCTGGGGCAAGGGTAGATTTATTAATCTGATCAGCCAAGTATCTAAACCCAATGCCGATCGATCTATGCCGCAGCCATTCCACGAACTAGCCCCATTCGGCTTCTGAAGCTTATGCACTGGCTGGGGCAAGGGACAGATTTATTAATCTGATCGGCCAAGTATCTAAACCCAATGCCGATCGATCTATACAGTAGCCATTCCACGAACTAGCCCCATTCGGCTTCTGAAGCTCATGCACTGGCTAAGGCAAGGGCAGATTTATTAAGCCGATCGATTTATGCCGTAGCCACTCCATGAATTATGATACTTGGCATCGAAAACAAAATGTAGCCATTTTACAATTGAAAGAAATACCATTCATCAACAACAAAATGTAGCACAAATAATAGCAAGGTAAAAAAGGAAATTTTCATTAGTAAATTGGGCACAAATTGTAGCCATCTTACATACGAAAATTACTAAACAAAAAGCTACAAGTCCGCCTGAAAATGCCTAGCAAAACAATTATGGCTGTAGCAATACATGAAAATTACCAAACGAAAAGTTATAAAAATACATACGAAATCCTAAAACAAAAACGTCGCCCAAATTAGTCCTCAGAGTCAGACTCCAGCAGCTCAACATCCACTTGCTGGTATGGAATCGGCATAGCCAATGTCACATCAGCAGCAGTAAGGGCTTTGAGCCAACCGTGTTTGAATCCCCGATTCTCGAATTTGAGAACTTGTTCCACGTAATCACCGAGGGCGGCTCTCTTCCCAGCCTCATACGCCTTCGAAGCTTCAGAATCGGCTAATTCCTTCGCCGCCTTCGATTCTGCCAAGTCCGCCTCATGTTTGGCGATCGCCTCTTGGGCTAACTTAAGCACAGCCTCACTCGTATTCGCCTTTTGCTCAGCAGCCAACCTGAGCTCATCTACATTTCTGGCCCACTCCATCTCAGCCTCGGTCCTCACTCCCTCCATCTTCACCTTCATAGCCTTGAACCCAGCCCTGCTCCTTTGGCCTTCAACTTCCGTCTGTAAACGGCCAAGCTGTTCGACGGCGTCATGATGGCGACGGCCCATCTCTACTATACGACCGACCGTCTGCAAAACAAGAAATTAGAACCAAAATGGTATTTACATAAAATGAAAAGATGTACATACCAAAAGTGCCGATTGAGCGGCTAATGCTATCGCAACCAGATCCGGCTCTGACGGGAAAGCCGCCTTGTCATCCGGTAATGAAACGGACATAGCCATGCTGAGTGCTACGGCAGGATCTTTAATGACCGAAGCATCAAAGGAGATTGAAGATTTTTTTATCTTCGGCTGAATGACAAAGGACATGATCAGATTCGATTCCTCTAAACGAGGTCGTTTGTCGGGTCGATTTTCTGAGCCGGCCTCGACCTCGACAGGACACTTCTCTGCCCTTTGCTCGGCCTCCTGATCGGCCTGCACAACCATAGCGGACTTGGCACTTTGGTTTTTCACTATTTCTTCGACAGGCAAGGGGGTTGAGATTCGACGATAGGTAGGGAAGGCTGGGATTCGGCGGCAGTTGGCACTTGAGATCGAATGGCCTCTGCTCTTCGCCGCGCGACCATCCTTTCCACATTCGCCTTCTTGGCAAGTTGTGTGAGGCTTAACCCAACCATGTCTTCGGGGTATGTGCCGGGAAGGTCCTCTAAACTGTTAAATGGAAGGTCCCTTCGGCCCGAAGTAGACGGAGGGTTGGCTGAATTAAGGCCGGCTTCCTCAAAGACCATCTTCAATGCTTCGTCTACTTCCGCTTCAGATTGTCTGACTTAGCGACCTTAGCTACTTCCGCTCGCTCCGAATCGGATCCCTCAAAACTGACTTGTCGTAAGTTTTTGAAGTCAGTCAAAATAAGAGTGGTAAGAGACTCTTCACCCTTCGGTATTGGGATGTTTTCCTAAGTCTTGTGTGTTATTTGTGCATTCATTGACTTGTACGAACTTGGCTTCTCATCCATCATGCATTGTCATGCTCGGTTGGTGGCCCGAGAGTCAAGTACCACGCTCCTTTGAGCTTGAGAAATGATAAGGAGGGTGGTTGTACACACATACCCTGCAAATACCTTTTTTTGCCCCTTTTGTATTCTGTTTGCAGCAAAATTGGAGTGTGCAGAAGCAAGTGGCCGACTAGCCAGAGCAAGTGGCCGACCGGCCAGTGGAAGTGACCTACAGCCTCCTTAAGTGGCCAACAGTTCTCAAGCTCAGAGGTGGTCCAAAGTTATTCTGGTTCTAGGGCAAAAATAACCTGGAGATTGGTTCGGTGTTCAGGAATCAAGGCGAATGCAAACAGAGGCAACCGGTGGCAAGGTGTCGGATTTTTGGGAGGAAGCCGATCAAGCATGCATGCATCCTTCGCCCTGAGGCCTTTTAACTGTTTTGCTTAGTTGGTTAATTCGTTGGTTCTATACTTAAATAATGTACTTAGCTAATCGGTTTGTGTTGTAATAATTAGCTAACTAGAATAGTTAATTAGTTTGATTTGTAATAATTAGCTTAGCTTAGTGTAGCTTAGCTTATTTATTCAGACCATCCATCGAGAGGGCACAATGTTGTAATAAGGGGGCGTGTGTGTGCGCATGTCTTCCAATCCCATTTCTTTCTCCCTTTTACTTATCAGCTTTTGATGGTTAGTTTAGGGCACGTTTTGTTTAGCATACCTTATGCTTGCATGTTTGCATTATTCATTTGTATTGCATGCACTGGGCTCGGCGCATCATTCAAACTGCATCGTATTTCAATACACTTACTTACTTGCATTCATGTGCCATCATAGCAAGTCGAGCCTATTTTAGTTGCATTTTTGCATGTGTTGGATTAGTCATCTTGTATAGTTAGGATCATGCATGATTTCTAACTAGTTTTCTGTTTTGGCTCGGAGTACACTGTAAGTGTTTATGCTTTAGCATCCTTGCATGAGTGTAAGTGGTTGCCATGTTTAGCGTGGTTGCCATGTTTAGCATGCTTGCCATGAGGCTATGTGTTAAAAATGATTAACTGCATGAATGCCCGTGGATGAAGGCTTCATTACTTTAATTGGAACAATTCATCAAAATGTGAGTTTTAAGCCCACTTGAGGGTGGCAAATCATGTTGTTTCAAGCCTACCTTGTATGGTGGCAAATCCGCGTTTTAGCCTACTTGCAAGTAGCATTTTCAAACCATTTTTGAAAAACAAACATGAGATGTTTTGTTCCAAATCGAGCAATTTAGTCTATACTTGTGTGTTGTGCGCATCACATCGTAACTTAGCTATTAATCAAACAAGAACACATGTGTTTTCAAAAATAACATATCATGTTTAGTAAAGGCTGATCTTTGATCGGACGAGCGGGGGTGCTCATTTAAGGACCTTCTCCTCTCGTACCCAAGTTCCCGAGCCGAGGCAACTTCGGTAATGACAGACACGTGGCCTTTGGCACGAGTCAGGGTTTCTTAAATTTCTCCAAAATAAAATATTTAGGTGGCGACTCTGTAATCTGGCAAAGCAGTCCATGTTTGGCGCTTTTTGTTTAAAATCAATTTTTCAAAACAATTTGCCGGATTTGGACTCTTTGGTGATTTATCAGTCTTACATTGCACTTTGTGAGATTAGATTTAGAATCGTGATAGGGGTCCGAACTGTAGTAGCTAGAACCCAAATCCGCGCCCTCTCCAAAAGGGTGGTGCGCGGAGAGAGATCGGGCGGTCTACAGGATGCCACCCGTACAGGATGTTATGAAACCATTTGCTTTAAATAGTGCAACCTAGATCATGTCAAAATCTAGGTTAGGGTAACCCTACCCCCTCATAGGGGTGTTTTGGTTATTTTACATGGCATATGCTTTTACAGTGAAACTGTACAGGGTGGTTCATATCAGTGGTACAAATGAGAAGTCAGTTTGAGAACAAAGTTCAGTGGGGATCACAGTTCAGCTGTGTGTTGTGATTGTTGAAAATTGGGGCAGAAGTTCTGTCCGATTTTTTATTATGTTTTCTTTATTACTTTTGTTAGGTAGTTTTTCATCATAGCTTCAGAAAGACCCGATATCCCCCAAGTTGAATAGACTCGTTCTCCCATACTGTGAAAAACTCAAGATCTTGTTGGCGGTCAGCCAGTGTTAGTTTCTCTCCTGCCAATTACTCGACAAAGAAGGAACAAACAGGCATCAACATCGGTACAAAGCACTCCGCCAACACTGTTCGTGCATACGATTCACCAACATCTCACCCACCTAGAACAAGGATGGCGCAGAACGTAGAAGAACTTGCCGCCATGATGGCAGCTGTTCAGAGAACCATGGATACCGTAAATTAACGGATGGCCGCACAAGATGAAGTCATCGTTGATCTGCGACGCCCATTTGGGGCATCTGCATCTACAGTGCATCCAATCCGTACTACTCAGCCGAATCCCGATCCTCATCCACCAGTGGAAAATCCCCAGGTCCCGGATCCCCAAGAGGTGTTTCTACAGGCTCCATCTCATAGGCCCTTGGCACAACCCCAAGGGGAACTCCTTCCCTTTGACATCAACGATGATCTAGCCATGATAAAAATTACCAGGCTAGAGAAAGCAATGAAAAAATCCCAAGGCTTCAATTCCATTCATGATATTGAAGATGGGTACACTGAGGCTTTAGTCAGACTACCGGAGAAGTTTAAAATGCCCCACATCGACTGGTTCGATGGCAGTGGGGATCCAATTGTGCATGTCCGGTTGTTTTTAGATGTGCTGAGGCCTATGGGTTTATCTAGGGCACAGAAGCTCTCATTGTTTGGGAGGACCCTATCTGATGTAGCGGCCATCTGGTATGCCAAATTGGAGAACTCTACAAAACGGAACTGGGAGGAGCTATCTGAAACATTTGTTAACCAATACTCATATAATACCCAGATAGAAGTAACCGTTAGTGAGCTGGAGGCCACTACTCAGAATCCCAAGGAGTCATTTATTGATTTTGCCGCCAGATGGAGAGCCAAGGCAGCCCGGATGACAGACCGACCTACGGAAAGAGAACAAGTCTGACTGGTAGTTCAGAATCTTGAACCAGATATGCCGCAGAAGATGATAGTGGCACCATTGACCACAATTGCTTCCCTACATGAGTTGGGGGTCCAGATTGAGAGTGCCTTGAAAAAGGGCATCCACCATAGGACTAGTGAACCCGCAAGAAGACCATTTTCACAAAGTACCAATGCTAGCACTAGTACTATTACACGGCCTGCAGATGTCAATACCGTTGCTACATCATCGGCCAAGATGGTCGATCCCTTTGCTATTGCTACAAACTGACAAACCGCACAAAATGGTCAACCTTGGAACCAAAGAAATTTCACCCCTCTCCATATGAGTCTAACCCATGCCCTCAAGATGTTGCTAAAAAGGGGGCATCTCAAGCTTCTCAAACCACGATCTCTCCCAGACCAACTGCCAGCTAGGCATGACCCAACCCAATATTGTTCCTTCTACCAACAACATGGTCATCGTACAGATTCATGATTTCGTCTACGTCATGAGATTCAGAACCTCATTGACAACAAAATCATTGCCCCTCCTAAATCAAATGTGACAACCAACCCACTTCCTACATATAACCAAGTTCCTCCCCCCAGAAATATTAACCATATCCAAACACTACCACCCACCTTCAACCCCAGCACATATATTGCCTCGTCCCACCTACCGAAACTGGAGGTGGTTATTCCAGAAGGCACAAATATGTGCATGATGGACTTAACCCCACAAATCCAACCCAAGAATGTGATGGCAGAGACGGAGAAAGAGGAGAGTGCATTACAGATAAAGTTATCTGAAACCTGTATCATAGAAAAGGGGGCTTTGCTTGCGAAGGAGTATGACCCCAGCTTATACATTGTGGCCATTGATCAGCCAAAACCAGTGGTCATGTTGCCAGATGTTCTCAGCGTCAATGCTATTAGGGAAGGCCAATTAGGGCAACATCAGAACAATTGGACTGAACAAGGCCTAAATGACTTGGCCGAACTGGAGAAAGACCTAGCCCAGATGGAAGAAGACCTAGCCAATCTCTTCTTCTTTGATGAAGAGGATACAAATAGTGTCCAGATAAGTTGATGGGACCCAGGTCAGCCAGAAAAAAACAACGGTTGGTTCAATCACAGAGAGCTAGATGAGGTAGAACAGACAAGCAGTGTCAAGAAGGAAGGCCGAGGCTACATCCTTGATTAGCACAGAATAAGTGTTTGAACAATTCCAGCAAGAAAGTGAGAGCACGAAAATGCCATTCTGCAAAGCACAAACCAAAACCGTCGTAGAAAAAGGATGATATGATGTGAACATGCTCCAGGTAGATAAAAGCCTAGTCTTGACTGCAGGAGAGTGGTGGAAAGATAATGATTTGACTCATGCATATATGAACGAAGAGTGGAAATCTGATACCCCCGACGATGCGTGGTATGCGGACGAGATTAATTACATAACCCAGAGTGGTCGATACTTCAAACCCGCGGCTTTAGATCAGCCAGAATCCTCTAACAAAGAGGTTAAAAAATTGAAAGAGAAGGATTGTGAAGAAAATCTGGTCTTGAAACGACTCAAAAAGATTCAGGCAAACATATCAATCTGGGGGTTGATAATGACTTCCCGGGAGCATAGGCAAGCACTGCTAGAGGCAATGAATCGGACCAAACTACCTATCGATACTACCGTTGATCAACTAGTGTCGTTAGTCACATCTGGAGATGTTATGCCAATAATATCTTTCACAAATAAAGAGCTGCCACCTGAGGGTGCCAACCATAACCGACCCTTGTATGTGACTTTGGAGAGCTGAAAAAAGTGGATTCCGGTGGTTGTAGTGGATACTAGATCAGCAATTAATGTATGCCCGGTACGGACTGCTTATGCCATAGGGTTGCGACTGCTTGACTTCACGCCTACAACCCAATTCGTTTGAGCTTATGACAACACGAGCCGGGATGTTATGGGAACGTTCAAAAGCCATATCCTAATCGGCCCTTCCGAACATGAGGTAGAATTCCATGTAATGGACGTACCGGCAACTTTCAACTTACTGCTAGGAAGGCCTTGGCTCTATCAGATAAAGGCTATGTCATTAACAGTTCATCAGTTGGTGAAATACCCCTTAAAGGTGGAATTACTACCGTGTACGGTAATTCTGCAATCCATCCTTCCCAGGGAATTGCTACTCCAGTGTTAGAAATCATGCATGGGGAAGAAGATGTATTCCTTTTTGGCTTTTCACTGACAGAGGCCCGGGTGGTTCAAACCATCATGGCAGAAGGTGACGGAACCTATGCGAGTGCTCAGTCCATCTACATGATGAACAAACAGGGGTATATGCTAGGATCAGGACTGGGCAGGAGTGGCAGGCAGGAAGGTACTATTACCAAGGAGATGATCCACAACCCCCATGCTTTTGGGCTGGGATACAAACCTACTGTGGAAGATTGGCAAAGGAAGGAAGCTGAGTTGAGAGGAAGAATTAAAGCAAATAAAGTTGGGAAACAGTATGAGTTAGTCCACAAACCAATACGGGGAGCCCTGAACAGACGCTTTGTCCACCAAGGGGAAGATTTCCCCTTTTGTGGATTTCCAGAGCCTTGGTTTGACCAAGAGACAAAGACAATGTATCATGGGTTCGAGATCTTCTTCGGGCACCAGTTACCAGAAGAGGAAGATAAGCAGATGTACCTCAACATTAATACAGATCGAGGCATGGCTGCAAATGTGGATGTTGATGAAGAAGAAGAACTGTTGGAAAAAACACTGCTTGACCTACTAATAAAGTCTACTGTTGGAACTGAGTCTAACTACTTGGGGGATTGTTTTACTATCTCAATGATCAGGGATAAACCAACTATGGATTTCTCTAAACTTATTGTGGATGCATCCGAGGCTCCGCACCTAGTCTAGAAGTTTGAAAAGGACATCATCAGCAGTTCTGAATCGGATAACGAGTCCGAATCTGATTCCACTGAGTCTGTAGAGTTAGAGTCAGATTTGAGTTCTTCTAAGTCTGGTACATTCGGGAGTGGTAACCTAAATACCAAAGTCCTGTTGAAGTCGTCTTTTAGTTTTTCTTTTGAGTCAACTGTAACCGAGGACCCAGACTTTACTAATGGAAATGTCATAGATTTTTCTTACTTCTCTGTGCCTTTAGTTTGTTGCACTGATCTTGATTTTCCAAATTTTGACTTAAACAAAGAGGAAGAAATTCCTCGGGCTTTGAAAAATTTGGTTAACCAAGAAGATGAGAGGCACGTTAAGCCCTGCACAGATGAAATCATTGCAATTAACGTGGGTACTGAGGAGGATCCTCACTTGGTCCAGATCGAATCCACGCTGTCTTCAGAGGAACGCGAGCGTTTAATCGCTTTATTAAAACAATTCAAAGATGTTTTCACGTGGTCCCACAAAGACATGCCTGGAATCGATCCTGAGATTGTACAACACCGAATCCCTCTAAACCCTGAAGCCTAACCAGTCAAATAGAAACTGCATACAGTTCACCCAGATTGGGTATTAAAGATTAAAGAAGAGGTCACCAAATAGATTGATGTGGGTTTCTTAATGGTATCTGAATACCTGACTTGGTTAGCTAATATCGTTCCGGTTCCAAAAAAGGTTGGCAGAATCAGAGTCCGCGTTGACTTCCGGGATCTGAACAGAGCTAGTCCGAAAAACGACTTTCCATTACCCCACATCGATGAACTGGTAGACTTTACAGCTGGTCATGCTTTGCTTTCATTCATGAATGGTTTTTCCGGGTATACTCAGATTTCGATGGCACTAGAGGACAGAGAGAAAATTGCTTTCACCACGTCGTGGGGTACCTACTGCTATAAAGTTATGCCTTTTGGATTGAAAAATGTCAGGGCTACATATCAGAGGGCTACAACCACTATCTTGCATGACATGATCCACAAGGAGGTTGAGGTGTATGTGATGATATGATTGCCAAGTCTAAAGAGAGAGAAGGCCACTACATCGCATTGGAAAAATTCTTTGAGTGGATCAGGGAGTATAGACAGAGGTTGAACCCACAGAAATGCACCTTTGGGGTAACTGCAAGAAAAATGTTAAGATTTTTTATCACACAAAGGGGAATTGAAGTAGATCCCTCCAAAATCAAGGCCATCATAGAAATGCCACCACCAAGGACTGAAAAGAGGTGCGCAGCTTTCTGGGCAAGGTACATTTCATCAGGTGGCTTATCGCAAAATTAACCTTGACTTGTGAACCATTGTTTGGTCTATTGAAGAAAGGAAAGAAGTTCTAATGGGATGATCGATGTCAGTTCGCCTTCGAACTAGTCAAACTGTGCCTTCAGAATCCACCTGTATTGTCGCCACCAGAACCAGGAAAACCACTAATCTTGCATTTGTCGGTAACAGATTCGACCATGGGGTGCATACTTGCGCAAGAATTAGAAGCTAAGGTGGAGAAGGCCATCTACTATCTAAGCAAGAAGATGGTGGATTATGAAACTCGCTGCACACCACTGGAGAAAGCTTGTCTAGCCTTGGTATGGGCTACCCGAAAGTTAAGACACTACCTGTTAGCTCATTCTGTAATTATGGTTTCAAGATTAGATCCCATCAAATATCTCTTTGAGAAACCAGCACTTACGAGTAAGCTAGCTCGTTGGTTGCTTCTTCTCTCCGAGTTTGACCTCAAGTATGTCACGCGCAAATCAGTCAAAGGGAGGGCCGTAGCAGAATTTCTGGCAGACCACCTAGTATAAGGAGATGATGAAGCAATGAAGTATCTATTCCCAGATGAAGACATCCTGCAGATAGAAAAGAAAACATGGACGCTGTACTTTGACGGAACATCAAATCAATATGGTTATGGGATAGGTGTATTACTCATAGCACTCGATGATTCACATATACATCTAGCCTTTAAACTCTGGTTTAAAGTCTCCAACAATGAAGTAGAATACAAAGCGTGTGTTGCTGGCTTGAAAGCTACCCTAGAACTAGGGGCAATAAGGTTGGACGTCATTGGGGATTCAAATTTGG